GCATGAGTACACGTATGTGTGCGGGTGCGTGTGTGTGCGTCATGTGTGGGCAGCATGTGTACGCAAATGAGTGTTCCCTTCTGAGTTCCATATTCACATATAATCACATACTCACACACGCACGCGCACAGGGGAGTTCCGAGGTATGTTATTTAGTTGAGAGTGTAGGCATCCTCACGCAATCATGTGCCGCGGGTGTGTGTGTGTGTGTGTGTGTGTGTGTGTGTGTGTGTGTGTGTGTGTATGTGTGTGTGTGTTACTGTGTGAGTGTTACTGTGTGAGTTTGTGTGTGCGCGAACATGTGTGTGTGTGTGCTTGTATTTGCGCTTGTCCGGTGTGTTTGTGATGAAGATGCTTCCGTGCAAGTTTCAACTCTGTTTAACCTCTGTTCCGCTCACAACTGTGTTGACAACACTTCAACCAGGCCCTCCGCAACCAAAAGTCAAGACCACAGAGCGGTGAGGATGTCGCCCGTGCGCATTCCCCTGCTGGTCCCTTATTCTCTTGCTTCCACGGCTATTGTCATCATCAGAATCATCAGAATCATCATCATCATCATCATCATCATCATCATCATCATCATCATCATCATCATCATCTCACCACTGCACACCCACCCCTCCTCGTTCCCGCTCTTTTTCCATGTTGCGTTGCTGCTGCTGCAGTGTACGTGTACCGCAAACGGCCAGAAGGGACCGTCCCATATCACGTCATTGACAACGTCGCAAAGCTGTCGCCAGAGGACTGGTTGGTTGGTGTGCATATGTGTGTGTGCATGTGTGTGTGTGTGCGTGTGTGTGTGTGTGTGTGTGTGCGTGTGCGTGTGTGTGCGTGTGTGTGCAAACTGCAAACGCCAAAGCTTCTTGTTGTGGTTGCGACGTCACCCTCCCCCTTCCCCTCTCTTTTGCGCTGTGCCAACACATCCACGGCGCCAACAGGAAGCGCGTGGTTGCTGTTGTGGTCGCGGGCCCAAAGTGGCAGTTCAAGGATTTCCCTGAGATGAAAAACGGGAAGCAGCCAGTCGACATCTTCTGCAAATGTCAGACACGAAGCAGCAAAGTGCACAGTGTTGTTTGTATGTGTATGTGTATCTGTGTGTCTGTCTGTCTGTCTGTGTGTGTGTGTGTGCCTGCACACCTCCGTACCACCTCATCTGTGCCAATTCCCACACCATCGTTGTTGTTTCTCTACCGCAGACCGCGCGTTTTACATCAACTTCAAGGATGAGCGCGTGCATCCCAACGCAAAAGAGTGGGATTGCAGTATCTTGCAGGTTGGTGTGTGTCTGTGTCTGTCTGTGTCTGTGTCTGTGTCTGTGTTTGTCCGTCTGTCTCTCTATCTGTGTGTGTGTGTATGTATCAAGCGCTCAAGTGCTAATCGTGCGCCTCCCTGCCTCTGCTTGACGCAATCACCTCACACAACATACCCATCCCCCCCCCCCTCCTCCTCCAGCTGAGCCGGTCCCAGCGCCATCTCGACCAGACAGCGTCGCGCCGGTTCTGGGAAACGCTCGACCAGTGGACAGCAGGCCGCTACCCGCTCCTCAGGCTCTAGACGACGGCGTGCACACACACACACACACACACACACACACACATCACGCACACACACACACACACACACACACACACACACACACACACACACACACACACACACACACACACACACACACACACACACACGATCACACACGATCACACTCCTGCACGTTGTTTGTTTTGCTTGTGACTGCCTTTGCCCCTAGTTCGTGGCTTTGCGTCCTGCCCTCCCTCTTCCCCACTATGCACACGTTCTGGCTGGCGTCACGTCGTGTATTCTTGCACACACGCCGCCTTTATTGTTCTTCAGTCGTCCCTCCCTTTCCCCCTTCTCTCTTTCCCCTTCCCCTCCACCCTCTTACGCTGGAAAGCAGCAAGCGATTGAGAAAAGTAAACTCACACCCCAAGCAAAGCACTACCCGCAACGAAACAAGCAGGCAGACAGCCCCCTCCCCATACAGCCATACAGCACACGAGCAAAGTCAGAAAGCCAAATGAATGCAAAACATACACAGAGTGGACTGCCACAGAAGAGAAGGCACAAACACGAACCGATACAAGCATACTCAGCAGGTACACCTTCCGGCAAGCCCAAGCATACACAACACGAACAAATGATGCACACGAGGAACGCAATGAGGATGACACTGCTCTCATGGCATAAATGTCGTCAGGTGCTCGTGCTCGTTTGTGTCACCTGAACATTGTGGTGTTGGTGTGAGATTGGGTGAGGATGAACGTCTCAAAGTGCATGACAGCAACACTCACACACTACTGCTGTCACGTGAAACTCTTGATTTCACGCACATCCGCGCACACAAAGACGAGGAGGCCATGGGTGCGTGCACAAGTTCAGACAGACATGGTGTTGACCCACTTGCTGAGCTGGCGGCGTGGTCGATGGAGCTCATGTCAGACGTGTCGTGTGGTGCAGTCTGGTGAGCAAATCCAACGGTGACGCAAACGTTGCACAGCACCGCAGTGAGACCAAGCAAGGAGGAGGCAGCAGATGTGGTGTTGCACCATTGAATTGGACGATCGGACACAGAACAGCGCGAACCCGTGACCACGTAACACTGTAACACGCAATCGGAGCCAAGACATCGCGTGCAGCAGTGAAGCATCATCATCACCACCATCATCGCCGTCATCACCATGATTGCTTCATGTTCTCACGTCTGCGTTTGTGGATGTCGTAGCGGCGCTGGTCTGGGAGCTGGCGGTGGCAACTCGCTCAACAACAACCGCAACCTGTCGACAGGCGATGGTGATGTCAGTTATAGCAGTTGCGTGTCAAGTCGACAGCCAACAATGAAGCAATGTGCAACGAATTAAACAGTGCACACCACATACGCACACTTGCAGACTTGAACACAGGCATCATCACCGCCATCACCATCACCATCACTTCAAACTGCTTGCTGTACCTGTGGCGGCGCTTCCTGGAAGGCGCGAACGGCCTCCAAGTGTGATTTACCCAACAGACTGTTGACAGTGGTGATACGTCCGCAGTCGTGTATGGTGTGTGTGTGTGTGTGTGTGCGTTGTTGAGAAGCCGGTGTCATTCGTCGTGCAAGTGTGACGGTAGGCACGGCCATCTGCGAGCAAAGCAGTCCACAGGCACTCATACATGCACTCACGCACATACACACACACTCGCTGACACACGTACACGCACAACACACACTGCACACACAACACACACTGCATACACACACACAGATGCACCATGCACGAGTGCGCACACCACGTGTCGTTGATGGCGATGACGCGGTCACCGCGAGCGAGGACGCCGTCCAGATCAGCAACGCCGCCTGGCAGTCACGGATACACACACGTGGACAACAGCGCAAGCATAGAGGGTGCACATAGAGGGGAAGGTGGTGTTAGCATGTGCAGCGTTTGCAAGATGTTCCATGAGTTCTCATTTGTTCTCCAGCTTCTCAGCTTTGACGAGCATATCGCGTGTGCACACACACACACACACACACACACACACACACACACACACACACACACACACACACACACACGCACACGCACACGCGCACGCACGCACACACACACACGCGCGCACGCACACGCGCACGCACGCACACGCGCCCGCCCACCCTGCTTCCATTAAGAGATCAACGCACGTGCTGCCATGTGTCGGATGTAGACGCCTTCGCGACTGGTGCTGGCCATGGCACCGGCAATGCTGAAACCCAGGCCGCCCGGCCCTTTCTGAAGCCTGCAGCGTGATGATGGCCGTTGTGGCGGTGGTAGTGGTGGTGGTGGTGGTGATGATGAGATAGGGGTTCTGCCAATGAACAACATCTTACTTTCGCTTCAATACCACCACACACACACACACGTACACATGCACGCGCACGCACACACACACACACACACACACACACACACACACACACACACGCACACACGTACACATACAAGCACACACGTACACACACACGCACGCAAGCACACGTACACGTACACCACGTACACACAACTTACGTTGTGGCGAGGTAGTTGAATGAGCCGTGCATGCGCCGGGCGACAATGAGGCGGAGGGCGGGACGCGGGGCCGTGAGCAGCGACACGGCGGCGTCATACGGTATCGACACCAGCGCGTGCCCGCTCGCCCACACAAGGTGGTCGCCAATCTCAAGCTGCCCAGCGGCCGGGCCCTGTGCAGCGAGAGCGGGGGAGTAGGGTGGTGGTGATGATGACAGTGATGATGACAGTGAACCAGGGAGAGTGTGTGAGACAAGAACAGAGCAGGCTTGCAATGCAAACAATACACATATGCACACACATACACATACACATACAACCCTCGTACAAACACGTACACACAACACACAACACACCCTCGACACACAACACACTCGCATACACACACACACACACACACAAACCTCGGGAGCAACGTTGCCGACAAAGATGCCCTTGTAGCCCTGCCCGCTGCAGATGCCAAACCCAAGACCCATGTCGTCCCGCTCAATGACCACCTCCTTCAACTCCCCACGCGGCAGCAGCGAGGACGTGCGGCGCGTGGAAGCGTCTGTCGTCGACACGTGCGACGTTGTGGAGGGGTAGTACAGGGAGGACATGTCCGAATCAGACTGCCGCCCAATGCTCAACGACCCGCGCCCTTCTGTTCGCGACACGCTCGTCGCCTCATCGTCGCCGTCATCACCGTCTCCATCTTCATCACCATAACCCTTCACCTCAACCTCATCATCATCATCATCATCACCACCATCATCACCGCCACCGTCACCGTCACCGTCACCCTCAACCTCAACCTCACCATCATGACTTGCAACATCGTGCTGTCGCCTCTCTTCTGCATCCTCGCTGTCGCCCTTCAACGCCTTCATGTTGTCATAGATGACGTCGTTTGCCCTCGCATTGGTATTCCGCCCTACCTGCTCTCCTTCTCCTTTTTCACCTTGCGATGGCTCACGAAGGTTGTCGTAAACGACGCTGCTGCCTCTTTCACCCCGCGTCGTGGCGTTTGTTGGCGCCCCGCTCTCTGCATGTGTGGGCTGCTTGGTGTCAGCCACACTCAGAGCTGCACCCTCTGCCAGTGACAGCTGCGACGACGATGACGATGACGCTGGCGACTGCTGCTGTTGCTGTTGCTGTTGCTGCTGCTGTTGCTGTTGCTGCTGTTGGTGATATGACTGTGGTTGTGATGCAGCCGTTGTAGGTGTCGCGTGAGGGGCGGTGCTGCTGCTGTGCTGTGCTGCGGTTGTGTTGTTTGTTGCACCCTGCTGCGCCTTTGCCTCTGCCGCCGCCGCCAATCTCGCCAGCTCGCGTTTCTCGTCGTCCATGCGCGGGTACACCACGGGCAGCAGGTGCAGCACCACCGACCCCTTGGCCTGCTGCATCAGGTCAAGGCACTCCGCAAACGTTCGGCCGTGACACGTACGCTGGTTGATGGACTGCACGCACATGCCGCTCGACACGCGGCCCGCGTTGTCGCCAAACAACTCCCGCCCTTTGCTCTCGACAAAGAGGCCTTCAATGTACGGCAGCTGCGGCAGCCTGTCCGTGAGCGTGATGCCAAAACGGCCACGATAGCGGCGCAGGACGGCGCGCACCGCCGCCGACGGCTGCTGGTTGCGGTTGGAGGGGGCGGGCACGATGGACATGATGTCGAGGCGTTGCAGGGTGTTGAGGTCGCGCTGCACCTGCACCAGCAGCTTCGGCGTCACCGTCGTCAGCACAAAGTCGTTGAGGACGAGGATCACCTGCTCCGGACGCAGGCCCGCACGCCACAGGTCGCAGCCGGCCTCCACGTGCTCGACCACAACAGCCGTGCGCAGGCCCGTGATGCACGTGGTGTTGGACAGGCGGCAACGCACCACGGGCGCCGTCCGCTTGCGCTTCTGCACCAGGATGACGCGCTCGAGCGTGTGCGACTTCATCAGGCGCGTGTCGACGGAGGTGATGGGCTGGTTCTGGATGGCCTGCGCCTCATACGACCGCGCGTGCTGCGCCACAAACACAACGGAGCCAGACTGCTCCGCCGCGCTCAGCAGCCGCAGAGCGCCCTGGAGACTCGCCCCGGCGACGCGGCGACCGTTGATGGCGATGATGACGTCCGATGGCACGAGCCGGCCGTCAGTGGCCGCCAGGGAGCCCGGGAGGATGCTCTCCACCGTGATGGGGAGGGACGCGTCCGAGGGCGAGGCTCCACCTGTGAGCATGATGCCGAGCTCTTGCTCCTTGATGTCGGTGAAGTCGACGACGAACGTCTCGCCAATGCCCAGGGCCTGGCCCGCCTCGTCCTCCATCCACTGCGCGCGCAGGTACTCGTCTGTGGAGATGGTGGTCGCGTCGGACACCTCCCGGGCGACGGTGATGGGCACCTTGCCATGCCGCGTGCTCTTGAGCATGTTGACAATCTCAAACAGCTGCCAGTCGCGCACGTCGATGTTCTTGACAAAGAGGATCTTGTCGCCCTGCATCAGGTACCCGGCTGCGGCACCTTCCGCGGACACGGAGTGCACATACACGCCATCCTCGTCATCCACGACGGTGAAACCGAGGCCCTTGACGCCTTTGTTGAGCACAAAGTCCAGCACCTCCGTTGTGGTGTGCTGATTCATGGTTGGGCGTCCTGCAGCGTGTTGTTGTTGTTGTGTGCATGTGAGTGTGTATGCGTTCATGTGAGTGTGTGCGAGCATGTGTGTGTGTGCGTGCGTACATGTGAGTGTATGGATGACATGTAGCCGGCTCTTGGGTTGGCGCAGAGGCTGACTTGACGGTGTAGGCTGTGTTGAGGACCAGAGACAGGCTCGTCCAACAACTATGCGACGGTGATATATGACGTGAGTGGCGTACCTCCTTACCTCAGTACCTCGAAATCCTTGCTCAGCTGTTCTCACCTCACGCTCGTTCCAGTTCCACTTTGACTGCAAGTGTGCGCTGCACACTCAGCCGGATACGAGGAGAAGGTGGTAGCACACCAAGCTCACATACAACAGCACCAGCAGTGCTCAAGTGTTGTTCTGCTTCGAGGCCTCTGCTTTGGAAGCGGCGTGTTTGGCGGGGTATTTGGGCTGGGGTTTGATGACGATAATTGTTAACGATGCCCGTAAATAGTCGACACAAGCAGCACCTTGCTCCACTTTCCGCTGTTGTTTGTGTTTTGCTGGCGACATCTCAAACACCCACAAAGAAGAAGCACGCTGCGTCCAGAGTGTTGTTGCGTTGTTGTTGTTGTTCAAGCGTGCGCTGTGTGAGAGACGGAGTGAGATGGCTGGAATCCGCGTTGTTGTGGGCGCAGTAGTGCTGCTGTCCATGTTGCTTGGCTTGAGCCATGCCGCGTGCCCAGGATCACCCAATACCCTTCCCATCTTCGATGATGTGCGTGTGTGAACTTGTGCGTGTGTGTGTGTTCTTGTGTGTGTGTGTGTGTGTGTGTGCGTGTGTGTGCGTGTGTGTGTGTTTATGTATTCTTGTGTGTGTGTGTGTGTGCGTGTGAACTTGGGTGTGTGTGTGTTTATGTATTCTTGTGTGTGTTTGTGTATGTGGACGCGATAGCACTGCCACCGAAGACTTGCCATGCTTTGCACATGAGCAGATCACTGCACGTCACTCACACTCACACACGCACGTCACTCACACTCACACACGCACACACGCGCACGCACGTCATTCACACGCGCACGCACGCACACACGCATACGCACGCGTGCTCCAGGAGCCCAAGCATGTGCGCAGCGTGGAGAACGGCAAGCTGTTCTCGATTGATCACGGCAACGGCAAGTCCATGCGCATCCTCCACGTGTACGGCACCCCGTATCAGATGGGCAAGGCCCAGGGCGAGATCTTCACGAAGGAGATCTACGACATGATTACCGCCTTCTCCGGCTACATTGACAGCCAAATCGAACCGTACATCAAGTGGCTCCCCAAGGTGTGTTGTGTGTGTGTGCATGTTTGCGGGCTTGTATGGTTGTGCATGAAGGGTTGTGTGTGTGTGTGTGTGTTTGTGTGTGCGTGTGTTTGTATCTGTGTCTGCATCTCCTTGTGTGTGTGTGTGTGTGCGTGTGTGTTTGTATCTGTGTCTGCATATCTTTGTTTGAGTGTGTGTGTGTGTGTGTTTGTATATGTGTCTGCATCTCCTTGTGTGTGTGCGTGTGTGTTTGTATCTGTGTCTGCATCTCCTTGTGTGTGTATGTGTGTGTTTGTATATGTGTCTGCATCTCTTTGTTTGAGTGTGCGTGAATCTCATCCATCTGCGTTCCCTGTGTCTGCCCGCCTGTCTGTCTGCCTGTCGACCTGTCTGTCTGCCCGTATCTGCTTTTCGTGGTCACTCTGCATGCTGTGGCGGGTGTGAGTAGGAGATTCAAGAGATTATCCTGAAGGATGGCCCGCAGGCCGCGCTGCAGTTTGAGGTGGATCTCACCCGCAAGTACATTCCCCAGCACTTCTTCGACGAGGTACGTGCGCCTCGTAGGAGGAGACATTGGGTGAAGAGCACATATGCATGGGCGAAACAGACACGCGGGGAACCCGTGATATGTTGAAATCGGAGCACGTGGGAACACGTGAGCCCCCCGCCCGCTCTGTACAGATTCGCGATGCACCCGTCTGTTCCCTCGTGCCATCTGCACTATCATTGTGGTGGTGCACTGACACAATCATTGTACATGCGCACGCACACACACACACACGACAGCTGAAAGGCATTGCGGATGGCATGAACGGCACCATGTCCTATGACGAGATTCTGCAGTTCCACCTCTTCCCGGAGCTTATCAAGGCCAGCTGCAGCATGTTTGGCGCATGGGGACCTGCCCTCGCAAACACATCAGGTGAGTGAGTGAGAGAGAGCGTGTGTCTGTGTGTGCGTGTGAGTGTGTGTGCGTGTGCGTGTGCGCGTGTCTGTGTGTGTGTGTGTGTGTGTGTGTGTGTGTGTGTGTGTGTGCGTGTGTCTGTGTGTGCGTGTGTCTGTGTGTGTCTGTCTGTCTTTGTGTGTTTCCGTGTGCGTGTGTCTTTGTGTTTCCGTGTGTGTGTGTGCGTAGGTGCTCATTGGAAGTTACACATCACCCTGCAACGTTGTGCAGACACCCTCAACCAGCTGCGCGCCCTGGACTGGGGCATCGACAACCCGCTCATCAACTACTCCGTCGTCGTCGTGTACCACCCCAACGATGGTGTGTATGTATGATTGTGTGTGTGTGTGTGTGCGTGTATGTGTGTGCGTGTATGTGTATGTGTGTTTATGTGTGTATTCATGTGCACCTCGCCGCTTGCTGCTGGGTGAACGTCATGCCTGCACATCGACTCATCATCATCACCACCACCGCCCTTAATGTCAGGCAACGGCCACGCCTTTGCGAGTCTCACGTGGACCGGGTTCATCGGCAGCATCACCGCCTATGGTGGACACACCGCCGTCTCAGAGAAGGTCGTCCGAATGTGTGTGCGTCTGTGTGTGTGTGTGTGTGTGTGTGTGTGTATTGGGAGACATCTGCCCACAAGCGAACTGCTACATCTGCCCACAAGCGAACTGCTCGCACCTTGCAGCCCCTCTGACACTCACACCGCCATTGTATTTTTGTACAGGTCTGGCTTTCCTACAACGAGACGTATGCGCGAGCCGGAATTCCCTTCCACTTTCTCATGCGCGACATTGCGCAATACGACCGCACGCTGAGTGACGCCCTCAACCGCGTGTACAACAACAGGCGCACGTGCTCCATCCACCTTGGCGTCGGCTCGCGCCACGACCAGCAGTTCCGCGCCGTGGAATACGGGCACGAAGAAGTTCTTGTCTACGACGACCTCAACTACCCAACCTACCTCCCCGCACACCCACAGATGGACGTGAGTTTGGTTTTGTGTGTGTGTGTGTGTGTGTGTGTGTGTGCAGTTGTGTGTGTGTGTGTGTGTGTGTGCAGTTGTGTGTGTGTGTGCACAGGTGTGTGTGTGTGTATGTTGTGTGTGGTTGTATATGACTTTGTGTAAATATGTGTGCAGGTGTGTCTGTGTCTGTGTCTGTGCCTGTGTGTGCACGCGTGTTCTGATGCGAATTTACTCCATGTTTCTCACATCGCATGGCTACATCGTACCCCCTCCCCCACCGCCAAAACACACACTTACACAAACATTCCCGCCACCAGGGCCTGGTGTTTATCAACAAGCACGTGCAGCCGTCGCACGACACGTGCATGGGTTCCCTCATGCAGAAACACTACGGAAACCTCACCGCAGAGACCACCATTCGCAACGTCCTCGGAAACACCCAGTCAGGTTAGCGGGTGTTGCACCGTGTCTCGTGGTGTATGTGTGTGTGTGTGTCTGTGTCTGTGTCTGTGTCTGTGTATGCACGCTGTGTGTGTCTGTCTGTCTGTTGTGTCTGTCTGTCTGTCTGTCTGTCTGTCTGTCTGTGTCTGTGTATGCACGCTGTGCCTGTGTCTGTAAATTGTACTTTGTGACGCATACTGTCGTACCTTTGCTTGCCAATTCATCTTGATTCGAGTTCACTGTCAGCCCTCACACCTTCTCCTACCCCAACACCACCGTCACTTGTGCCCTTGCCATGTTTGTCTATGCCTGTGTCCCTGCGTGCGTGCGTCTGTTTCCACCACCTAACCACCCCCCCCCCCCTTGGCAAACAGGCGACATGCACGCTGCCGTGTACAACTTTGAGAAGAACCACATGTATGTCAGTGTGGCTGGACCAAAGGTGACATCTTCGGGCGATGTGGAATCAACAGTGACCCCCGCATACGCCCGCCCCTGGTTCAAGCTGGACATGACCAAGCTGTTTGCACAGCAGCAGTAAATGTGGTTGTGGTGTTGTGCTGCTGCTGTTGCTGCTGTTGCCACTTGTTGCGACTGTTGTTGTTGTTGTTGTTGTTGTTGTTGTTCATGGTGTTGGCGCCTGGACATGTGTGATGCTCGTTGGTGTGTCTGATGGCCTGGTTGCTGGCCCCATGTGTTCCCGGTTTTGATGTGTGTTGTTTGTTGGTCTACCAGACTTGCTGTTGTGTACGTCCGTCTTCTCCTCCCCCCCCCCCTGTGACGCCACTCAGGCGCCTTGGGTGACTGGTTATCGGTTTCCCACGTGCTGGCCTTCATTGAACGATTGAAAGACGTTGCGCACAAACACACGAGTTGCACACATACACGGCGGAGTTTGCCGAAAGAACACGCACCCTTGTGAACACGTGCAAACTTTTGCGCAAAACGTGACCACAAAGCAACACGTGGTTCGCTAAGACATTGGAGGGAGAGCAAGAACGAGCATAGGGTATGAACGAGCGTATGGTATAAACGAGCGTAAGCCGTACGAGAGTGAGGAGTCAGGAAGACAACGGTTGGAGTAAGAAGGACTCGGCGAGAAAACTGAACTGGAAACAACAACGAAGCGTAGGAAAGGATCGACGCGTAAGACGTGTAGGGGAGCACGTGCAACCACAAACGCGGTGTAAAGTATAAAGGTGCCCCCCACACACACTCACACACACACACACACACTCACTCACTCACACACACACACACACACACACACACACACACACACACTCACACACACACTCACACAAACAACGCGCATGCATGGTTCACCTTTATGTCTTTGTGCTACCACACAACGGACACACGCACACATATACATACACAGCACACGACACAAACAACGCACATACATACACACACACGCATGACATGAGCACTTCTGCACTTGCTCACAGGTACGTGAACACGTCCTCCATGTCAACAGCAATGCCGGCGGCAATGAGCAGCATGTGCTCTTCTTCCGTGATGTTCTTCGGGAAGCGCGTGCGGGACGCAGTCATGGCGTGGGAGCATGGTGTTGTCATGCGAAGCTCGCTGCGGCCTGGATGTGGCACCTGCGTCCAGTCGTCAATCGGGCAGGTGCGGATGAGTCCAATAAAGGCCTCAAACAGGCGGAACACGCGCTCAATCAGCTCGAACACGCCAAAGGTGATGCACTGGAAGACCCTGCGCACGCCATCGCACGCGGAGAGGCAGCTCTCGATGCACGCGGCGTACTTGGGCTCCAGGGGGATGATCCAGCCGGAGTCGGGGTCGGTGGCGCCGCCAAAGCGGTCGCCCGGCGGCAGAGGCCCGCGCACGATGGCCAGGTGCTTCATCTGCGCGTAGGCCTTGATGCAGCCGAGGAACTTGTACTCCTCCACGGGGATGTGCACGGTGAAAAGCACGGCGTCGTTGGCATCCACAACGTCATACAGGGGCTGCGCACGCCTCGTGAACCGGTTTGCAAAGAGCGACCCGCACGCGCTTCCCTGCTTGCTGGGCAGCACGCGGCCAATGATGGTCTTGCCGTCCTCCGCACACACCTTGAGTCCGCGGCTGGCGGCGCCGTTGTCGTTGAACAAGCAGCCGATGACTGGGCACAGGGCAAGTGGGCTGCGCCCCTGGCGGCGCACCCAGAAGAGAGACGTGCCGCCGTTGGCCTGCTTGCCTGTCTTGAACCGGAGCCGGAAGCCGCGCTTGTTGCCGTGCATCACCAGCCCGAGCCACCAGCCGCGCTCGTTGGCCATGATGGCGTTTTCAAAGTCGGTGAAGGGGCGGTGCTCCGGCGTTCCGCGCAGACCGCCAACTCGCCATGGGAACGGAAACTGCTCGGGAGCCTCGTCCGCTGGCCAGCGCAACGATTTGCAAGGCGGGTTGAAGCCACACAGGGAGCACAGGCTCGTGTCCTTGCCTTTCTTCCAAAACGTGTCAAGCGGCGGGTGCATGGCCTCGTAGGCACCGGTGACCTTGTAGGAGATGCGAGAGGACGCGCCGAGAGCAGCCTTAAGCAGCGGGCCAACAATGTCCATCTCCACAATGCTGTGCCAGAGCAACACCAGCTGCGCACCAAAGGGAACACCCACATCCTTCAAGACCACAAACAGCGCGGTGATAAACTCAATCGTGGCATAGAGCCACTTAGTGCCGCCGCCAATGGCAAAGGTCTCCACATAGTCGCCGCGAAGGACACGCTCCACTTCCACGCCGGTGCCGTCCGTCTTGTTGGGCTTGATCGAAGCGAGGTCCTGGGCTTCGTTGGTTGCCCCCGGGGGCTGGGTGATGACGACCGTGGCGCTGTCCTTCTTGGCCGGCGTCTCGTGCGTCGGTCGATCCTCTCCTTCGTTGAATCCATCGACAGCCGGCGTTGTGGACACGCTCGTGCGTCCGGGCTCGTCGACAACGCTGCCTGGAAGCACGTCGGCCTGGTTGTGCTGTGCAACCTGGTGCGGGGCCGTATCGGGGTTGTGACTCATGGAGCTGCCCTCGGCGGACGCTGCAAAGTCAACGACGCGACTCATGGCTCTCGGGTTGACGAATGAGTGAGATCGGGAGGGCGATGACCTCAGAAGAGGAGAAGAGAGGATGGGCGGAGGGATGGAGATGCAGGGACGTGGCAGTGGCAGTGGCTCGAATCGGTGGCCTGTAGTCTTTGCCTCGTGGACAGCGGCAGAAAAGGATCAGCACGCGCTCAGACGGACAGAGTCGCACAGAGTCGCACAGTCCAGCAAAGAAGAAGAGAAATGAAAATGAAAATGAAAATGAAACAACCAGCAGCACACGAGGGAAGAGGAGAAGCGTGGGGAAAACGAAGAAGACGAAGAAGTAAGGTGAGGTGTGCAGGGAGAGTGGGGGAAGGGGGAAAACAAGCGACCAAAGTGTCGACGAGGCCGCCCGCGTGCCTTTGTCCGTGCCTTTGTGTGCATGGTGGTCTGTCTTTGGGTCTATTCTCCGCGTCACACGTGCCATCTTGTCATAGATCTAATCGGTCATGGCATGCACCCGGGCCTAGCTTGCTCTCTTGCTCGTCCATCGCACAAACGAAGACAAAACAGACAAACAGCAATGCCGCAAAGAGTTGGAGAAGCGGAGTGTGTCATGTGTGGCCACATTCCCGCATCACACTTCTTTGCACCAATGCCACGCCCATCGCATCGTGCCATGTTAATTTTCTCAGTGCTCGAAAATGAACAAAAGTCCCCATATGAACCCGGCTGGCACGGGGGCGTATTGTCCCGCAACAAATTCGCAACGCGGGTGCGATTCGGCCTCTTTGTTCGGAAGCTCCTTCGGCGCATCGAACGCTCACAAACTAAACCTTCGGCGCGTGGGCACCGGGTCTGGCTTGCCGTTTAGGACCTTTGTCTCTTTGTTGAACAAAGGGGCGATAGGACATGTGGGACGGGCCCAAGCACGCCACCACGTGGTCGTCGAGGGACGTTTGTGTTTGTGTTTGCGTCGTGTTTGAAGGTGTTCTCCTCAAAGCAGAACAAAGACACGACATAGCTGTTGCGCAGCAAGGCAAGGGTTCGCCATGAGAGCAGTGGCGACGGAATCAATTCTTTGTTTGGGTTGATTGAGGATGCTACACACTCTCTACACTCTCACACACATGGATTTGACACGTCTTGGGACAGTCACACCACGCCACACACGGATTAGGAAGGACCAACGCAAGAACGCAAAAGATCGAAGAGATGAAGGGGTGGCTGAAACAAAACAACACTGCAACAAATCAAGGACAAGGGCACACCTACACACACACACCTACACACACACACCTACACACACACACACACACACACACGCACGCACACAAACGCACGCACACACACACACACACCACACACACACACACACACACACACACACACACACACACGCGCGCGCGCGCACGCACACAAACGCACGCACACACACACACACACGCGCCAGACTTCATCGATAGATGAATGGTCTCATGTGACATGGCTGCACAAAGGAGACTAGCGAACACTGTGCGTGAGTTGTGGTGGTTCAATTCAGGGCTCGTCCGAGTGGATGTCGATCCTCACGTGTTTTCTCAGGTCTGCCTCCTTGGGCTGCACCTCCCTGATATCTGTCGCAAAGTTCTCGCGAATGGCATCAAGCACCTGCATCTCGTTCCTGTTGTTGTTGTTGTTTAAGTTGTTGTTGTTGTTGTTTAAGTTGTTGTTGTTTAAGTTGTTGTTTAAGTTGTTGTTGTTGTTGTTTAAGTTGTTTAAGTTGTTGTTGTTGTTTAAGTTGTTGTTGTTGTTGTTGTTGTTGTTGTTGTTTAAGTTGTTGTTGTTGTTGTTGTTGTTGTTGTTGTTGTCGTTGTGGTTGTTGTTGTTCTGTTTAAGTTGTTTAAGCTGTTTAAGTCGTTGTAGTGGTGGTCGTCGTAGTAGTGGTGGTCGTTGTGGTTGTTGTTGTTGTTGTTGTTGTTGTTGAGGAGGAGGAGGAGGAGGAGGAGGAGGAGGAGGACATGGGGTAAGTGGGTATGAGCACGCGAAGGTGACAGCAGACAAAACAAAACAGCAGGGCTTTGGAAACAACAACAACCATGATAACAGAAGCGCAGAGGTGGATGGAGAGAAGACAGGTGCCTCGACCACCAACACAAGCACACACACACACACACACACACACACTCACAGACACACACACACACACACGCAGACACACACAGACACACACACACAGACACACACGCACATACCTGGTCTGGACGAAGGTGATTGCCGCGCCACCACCACGGAAGCAGCCGAGGCGGCCAATGCGATGGGCGTACGTCTTGTAGCCGGGACCAGCATAGTCACCGCCGTCGCCAAAGCGGATGGGCACATCAAAGTTGATGACGACGGAAATCTGGGGGATGTCAATGCCACGGGACAGCATATCTGTTGCGACGAGGAGGTTGTCGAGGCCGCTGAGGAAACGGTCCAGCTGTGCAAGCTGCTCGCTCTTGGTGAGGTTGCTGCTGATGGTGCACACGCGGTGACCCTCTTCCCGCATGATGCGCGTCACCTCCTCCACAGCTCGCTTCGTGTTGCAAAACACAATCGTCTGAGGTTGTATGGTGATCATGGCGGTGGTCATGAGTGGGAGCAACAACACAACGCAGCAGTCCACACAAGGGAATGTGACAAGGCATGCAACATGACACAGCATTCGAACCTAACAAAGCAAGGACAAAAAAAAACAAGAAACACAGGAAACGAACTGCCGAACAAAAGAACCAACCAAACGAACAAAGGGACAAACCAACGGACAAACAAAGCAGGCTATCACGCGCACGTGCACACAGACATACACACACAGACATACACACATACACACAGACACACACGTACACACAAGACCGCAGTGGGAACAAACCTGCTTGACGTCGAGGGACTCGTAGATGGCGAGGAGGGCGTCAATCTTGCGGTCGAAGCTCGGGGTGCTGATGTACAGCTGGTTGATGTCCTTCACCGTCACCTCCTCCCGCGGGATGGTGATGATGTTCGCGTTGGGCGCAACCTCGTGCGCGATGCCCATCACCTGGTCGGGGAAGGTGGCAGACAGCATAATCACCTGCACGTTGGGGGGCAGCATCCTGCAACAGCAAAAGCAGTGGAACGGAAGAGTGAGGGGTGGGGGAGGGGGATTGATGGTGAGCAGAGCAAGATCGAAGGTGTGCGCGCTGCAGAAACACCGACGGGAACGCAAGCCAATATCAACTTTACACACAGCACAGAGGGAGAGAGACAGACGGACAGACAGACAGACAGACAGACAAACACACGTTTACACACGCAAGCACGCACGCACACGCACACGCGCGCACACACAGGCACACGTTTACACACGCACGCACGCACGCACACACACACACACACAATCGTACTTCTTGAGGGTCTTGAGGAGCTTGAAGTTTTCAGCGCTCCCCAGCATGGCATCGGCCTCGTCCACAACGAGGATGCGCACGTTCTTGGCGCTCACGTTGCGGTTGGTGCGCATGGAGCTGACCAGCTTCTTGATGGTGCAGCACAGCACCTGCTGCTTGGCAAGCCCGCGCTCGTCAGCAACGTTGCCGACTTGCTGCGTGGCGTCGGCATCGCGTGAGCTGAACAGCAGGCCAACCTCGACACCCGTGAACTGGGCAAGCGCCTCAATCACCTGCGATGTCTGGAAGCACAATTGCAACATTGATGACACGTACAGGGCCTGCATGCAAGGTTGAGCATGATGCGCGGATGTATGTGAGTGCATACGTGTATGGTGGAAAATGATGCATGAATATGTGCGTGAGGGGGAAAGGCATGCTATGGGTAAGCAAGGAAGGAAGCAAGTGAAGGAAGAAAGGAAGCAAGCAAGGAAGCAAGCAAGCAAGCAAGCAAGCAAGCAAGGAAGGAAGGAAGCGTGTTGGCATTCAGCGGCTCCGCGCATCGCACCTGGGTGAATTTTTTGGTGGGGTCCACACGCGTGAGCACGTTCATGGTGAACGCGGCAGTCTTGCCGGTACCGGGCTGAGACTGGAACACAAGGTTCTCTGGCCTGTAGCATTTGAATGGCCACGGGCAAGCACGGTGAGTGGCGCTTGACACAACAAGCACATGCACGAGCAATACGACGTGGTGGGGGACGGAGCGAGATCACAGGGCACGGCGTAGCGTTCGCACAGGGAGAGGCGCAACGTACGGGTTCTTCAGGAGAAGGGGAAGGGCGGTGGACTGGATCTTGGAGGGCTTCTTGTACTGCATGGCACGGGCCGCCTTGAGCACGTTGGGGTTGCTGCGATGGTGGCAATGTATGAGAAGAGATGATTAACACAAACGCGTCAGCAAAGCACGAGAGCAAACGAACGAGGCACACGCACACACATGAATACATGCACGCAGACACACACATACACACTCACACACATGAATACATGCACGCAGACACACACACACACACGCAGACACAAGCAGACACACGCACGCACACGAACACAAACGCACACTAATACATACACGCACACTAACACGAACACAGCCACACATGCATCCAGTACATCCAGGGTTTACTCACATGGGAAGGGTGTTTGGTTGCTTGCCCACGTCCTCAAACTCCATGGCAGCAAAGAGCGGGGAGGTGGAGTCAGCTTGTTGCACACGAACATCGGCGTGGGTGTCCACAAACTTCTTCGTCAGGGACTGGAAGGCAGACTGCAACTCCGTCTTGGACTTGAAGGGTTCCACATGGCTGGCTTGAATCTCCAACTTGTTGGTGCCCATTGCGACGGCGGCTGTTGGCGGATCTTGCGCTGACACCCTGGCGGTGTTATCATCATCATCATCATCATCATCGTCATCATCATCATCATCCCTTGAATCACCCACTATGACCGCAGCAGCAGTCAAGGCTGAAGGCTTGTCGGACAGAATATTACGGGCAAGCGCAACTTGCTCACGAAGGATGACATCGTTCTCAAGTAGGCTCACAAGGTGGTGAGGCTTGGAAGCGAGCAGCATGGCTGTAATTTTCGGTGCTCGCTCCTTGCTGATAGCTGCAACACGGATGGAGAGTTTGTTCACGAGGATGTTACGTTGCTGCTCATCCAAATGAGCCAGATATGCTGACCCGCCCTCCTTCTGCTGCTGTTTGGCGGGAGCCCCGGTGTTGCCGGCGAGGATGTTCTGCGCAAGCACGACCTGCTCGCGAAGGGCCGCGTCGCTGGCCAGCAGGTTCATCAGGTGGCCGGCGTCGTACGCAAGCAGCATGCCCGTGATCTTGGGCGCGCGCTCCTTGTCAATGCCTGCGACGCGGTGGTACAGCATGTCGCCGAGGTACCCGCGGCGCTGCTCCTCGTCCATGTGCGCAAGCTGCGACGTCACGTCCTGTGGCAGCTGCACCTGCTGCTGGGCTTGCTGCTGTGCGGGCTGCTGCTGCTGGTTGCGCTGCTGCTGTTTGGCGGGAGCCCCGGTGTTGCCGGCGAGAATGTTCCGCGCAAGCACGACCTGCTCGCGAAGGGCCGCGTCGCTGACCAGCAGGTTCATTAGGTGGCCGGCGTCGTACGCAAGCAGCATGCCCGTGATCTTGGGCGCGCGCTCCTTGTCAATGCTTGCGACGCGGTGGCACAGCATGTCGCCGAGGTACCGGCGGCGCTGCTCCTCGTCCATGTGCGCAAGCTGCGACGTCACGTCCTGTGGCAGCTGCACCTGCTGCTGGGCTTGCTGCTGTGCGGGCTGCTGCTGCTGGTTGCGCTGCTGCTGTTTGGCGGGAGCCCCGGTGTTGCCGGCGAGAATGTTCCGCGCAAGCACGACCTGCTCGCGAAGGGCCGCGTCGCTGACCAGCAGGTTCATTAGGTGGCCGGCGTCGTACGCAAGCAGCATGCCCGTGATCTTGGGCGCGCGCTCCTTGTTAATGCTTGCGACGCGGTGGTACAGCATGTCGCCGAGGTACCGGCGGCGCTGCTCCTCGTCCATGTGCGCAAGCTGCGACGTCACGTCCTGTGGCAGCTGCATCTGCTGCTGGGCCTGCTGGCCCTGGGGCGCCTCTTGTTGCATCTGCTGCATCTGCTGCTGTGGCGGCATCTGCTGCTGCCCGGCAAACCGCTGGCGGAACTGCTGTGGGTTGCGCGCCATCTGCTGCTGCGCCTGGGGCGGCATGGTCCTGTTCTGCTGCTGCATGTAGCGGGTTGGCCCGCCAACGGGTCCGCCGCGGTTGCCGGCCTGCGCGGGAAAGTTCATGGCGCGCGGCATCTGCGGGTTGACCATCATCATCTGCGGGTTGTAGTAGCCGGGGCCAAACGCGCCCATGGGCATGCGGGGGCACTGCGGGTACATGTACACGCCCTGCTGTGGGTGCTGTGGCTGCTGCTTGCAGCGCTCCTGGCGTGTGAGGTGGAAGGCAACGTAGATGGGGCGGTCCTGCAGTGTCTGGCGGTTCTTCTTGGCAATGGCAGACTCGGCCTCCTCGCGCGTGGCAAAGATGACAAAGCCAAAGCAGCGCGAGACGCCCTCCATATCGCGCATCACCTTGACGTCGATGACGTGGCCGCACTCCTCAAAGAACTTGCGCAGGTCCTCCTCCGTCACGTTCTCGTTGAAGTTCTTGACAAAGAGGTTGCCACCGCGCTGGCGGAGCTCGCGACGACGCTCCTGCAGCCTGCGGCGAAGGCGACGGATGCGCTCCTGCTTCGTCTGGGCGCGCTGCACGTACAGCTTGGCCTTGGAGATGTGGTCGGTTGCAGCCTCCATCTTCTCAGGAAGGCCCGTCATGGCCTTGTCGACCGTCTCCTCGCCGTGCTCCTTGAAGAGGATAAAGCCAGAGAGCTTGCCGTCGGCGACCTGCAGGTGGTGGCGCTCGACCTCGCTGCCGGCGCACTCCTCAACCGTCTTGACAAAGTCCTCGACCTTCTTGCCCTCCTCAAAGGCCATGCCGTCGACGTAGAAGATGTCGCGCTGGTGCATCTCGCCCTCCTCGACGCACTTCTGGGCGGCCTCGGTGTCGGCAAAGTTGACAAAGCCGTAGGGGCGCTCCGTGTCCTTGAGCTTGTAGGTGCGCAGGGCCTTGGAGGTGATGTCACCGTAGGGCTCAAAGAGCTTGCCCAGCTCCTCCTCGTCGGCGTCGCGGCGCAGGGACTTGACGTAGACGTTGGTGAAGTTCTTGGTGCGCTCCTCCTGCTCCTGCTCGCGCTGCTTGCGGGGCTTGAAGGGGGCGACGCGCAGCTTGCGGTCGCCGCCGGCGTCCTTGCCGTTGGCCTCGGCAATGGCGCGCTCGGCGACCTTGGGGTCCTCAAAGTGCACAAAGCCAAAGCCGCGGCAGCGGCCGCTGTGGTCCAGGACGGCCTTGCAGGAGAGGATCTTGCCAAACTGCTCAAAGGTGTCGCGCAGGTGGACGCTGGTGGTGTCCGCGGGCAGGCCGGTAACGACAATGTTGCGGGGGTCAGAGCGGCGCTTCTTGGGGTCGCGCTCGACCTTCATGATGCGGATGTGGCGGCCGTGCAAGTCGTGGAAGTTGAGCTGGCCCATGGCGGCCTCGGCGTCCTCGGCCTTGTTGAAGTTGACGTAGCCATAGCCGAGGGAGCCGTGCGTGATCTGGTCGCGGCACACGCGCACGGACATGACGCTGCCAATGGAGGAGAAGAGGTTGAACAGCTCCGTCTCGTTCACCTGGGGCGAGAGGTCGCCGACGTACAGGGACGTGCCAGGGTTGACTTGCGGACGGTTGGGCACCTTGGCGTTGCCGGAGAGGACCTCCTGAGCGAGGACGACCTGCTCGTGCAAGATGGCATCATTGTCAAGCAGGCTCGTGACGAGTTCGGGCTCGGATTCAAGCAGCATAGCTGTGATCTTGTGGGCGCGCTCCTTGTCAATGGCTGCAACGCGGTGGTACAGTGTGTTGACGAGATCACCATGCTGGGTATCATCCAGTTGGGCAAGCTGTGTCGGCATGTCACCTGGGTGCGCTGGCTTGCTATCAGCATCGTTCAAGTTGACAACAATAGCACCAACTAGCTTGGCGATGATGGCGTCCACGAGCTCAGCTGGTGGCTGAGTACGCTCGGCACCTTGCGGCTGCCATGGATGGTGAGCGATGATGGGCGGAAGCAAGAAACGTGTCTTGGCGTGCTCGAACCGGTCACACATCTTCACCACAAATAGCGGCTTGTTCTCATCCATGATGAGCTCGAGTTCTCCGCGCGAGCTGAACTTGCTGCCTGTCTTCTCACCGTACTTGCGCGTGCCCATGATCACCACCATCTCGCACTCGGCAATCGCTTCAATCACGGCCTCGGGGACACCCGTGTCACCAAGACCACCTTCCTGTTCATTCGTCCGCAAAAGTGTAGACACGCCTCTGCGCTGCAGTGCAGCCTTCAGTGCCATGCTCTCGTCCAGGGCCTCGCCAGACCGACGCGAGATGAACACGCAGTACCGTGGCATGATGGGTGCTGGCCTTGCTTGGGTTGCCGTTTGCTTGCTTTGCTGTCCTCAAGAATGCTGGTTCAGTGTGCATGTGCGAGGAGCGCGTGAAGGTGAGTGCGGACAGGACAGACGTCCTGTGTTTGTGTGTCTGTGTGTGTGTGTGTGGGTTTGTGTTTGCGATACCAAAAGCAAACCAAAACACGCACTTGTTTAATTTGTGCAATTCCTCGAAACCACAAGGGTGGGCTTCCTCTTCCTGCAACCCCTTTGAAAACGATGTATTTAGGTATTTGGTCCTCTAGTCCTCTGCACGCACACACACACACACACACACACACACACGCACACGCACGCACACCCTATCACACACACACACACACACACACACACGCACACAGTCCCTCTCACACAGCACACACAAGCCAGCACCTCAGCGCTCAGGCGCCAGTCAGTGCAAGTCCCCGTCGTCCACGAGGTTTGCGCAGAAACGGAACATGCGGTCAGCAAAAGATCCGAGTCGCTCCACATCGTTTGCTCCTTGGAACGCGTTCAGCCCGCAGTGCAAAGCATCACTCGTCGTCATGCCAACAATGCTCATGCCGCCAGACGAGCTCATCAGCGATTCCTCCTGCAGCCAAATGGCCACGACTGCGTCCTCAAGCACAGCCTGTTGAAGGAATCAGCGAGACAAGTGAGACCTCTGCTGTTTGTGCTGTTGTGATGGAAGGACTGCTGTTACTAAGAAGCAAAGAGACACAGCGCACCACGCCTCACAATGGTTGGGCTCGCACAAACACGCGCACCTCACTCGTGCACCTCACTCGTGCACACACACACACACACACACACACACACACACACACACACACACACACACACACACACACACACACACACACACGCACCTCCGTGCGAAGGCAGAGCGCAGCGTGGTACTTGGCAAGTGACAACATCGTGCTCACTGCGACATGCAAGCGAGCGAGCGAGCGAGCAAACGATTGTCGGATGTGAGGGCATTGCAGCAAAACATCACACAAATTGTCACGCTCTCCCCATCCCCTCCAAATAGCAACCATTTTGGAGCGCCTCATCCTGCCTTACAGATGGATTGTGGAATCCGGTGTCCACGACGTGTCTGCAGCAGTCCGCAAGCCAGAAGCAGCAAACACGTGCGTTCGCCAAAACACAAAGCGCAGCGAGGGAGGGTGAGTGGTATTTTGGCTTCAGAGGATGTTGTGTGCCAACGCCCACGCATACACGGTGACAGATGCCCTTCAACATACACTCCTTATCATTTCAGCTAACCCTAAGCAACTCGCACCCTTCGCGATGCAATGAAGAATCGTCGAATCAGGCTTGCTGCTTCTTCGGACACACGCACATCAAGGCCTCGTGCGCTGGCAAGCAGCTGTTATTGTTGTGAAGGTTCGTCACAGGTGAGATGCTGAGACAGGTGCAGACCCTAAAAACGTGTACTTAAACAAAACACACAACGCCACACGACCGTGGGATGTCCTCGGATGCACGTTCTCTCTCGGATGCGGACTGCTCCACACAGCCTCACTCGACCCGATGCAACCAGCCTCACTCGCCCAAATGCACTCACTGCACACACTACTTTTCACTGCAACCATTACTTGCGTACCTGCCGCATCTCGTCAAGTGTCACCTCTGGCTGTGGAGTGTCGTCGTTGTGCTTGTCGCCCGTCGACTTCAAGTGAGGCCGAAGGACAAATTCTGCCAACCCTATTGCAACAGCGCCCGCAATTCACCAAAGAAATCATCACGCAACGCGTGAGCTGTGCATTGGCTGTGCATGAAAATGAGCATGGGCTGCAAGAGCTGCGACAGGTCCAAGTGTGTGGTCAAATTTCGCACAACACACCCTCACCTGAATCGGTGCTTCGATCCTTCGGCTCTCCAATGCGGAACACGAGTGGAAATACGGCGGCAACTTCGTCCAGGCGCGTCGGCTGTGACACAAGAAGTTTCAACGTGAATTTGTGAAGCAACCCACATGTTGCTGTGGACATTGTGCAAGTGTTACAGAACGTGTGGCGCGTGGACACTGTGTGGTTAACGTAGCCCTTGCCCATGGGGCCATAATTTCCCACCAACCACACCTGTACGCTTGTCGTTGCAAGACCCCAGACTGTTGTCGCAACGGGGAGAACCGTGCCGGCCAGTTCCTATTATTGTGAGCGACCCAGGTGAACTGTAGCAGACATGCACCTGAAGAACCCTGGACATAGAACACCTGACAATGCCTTGGCCCAAGAGAATGCAACACACCAACACCTCCCTTCCATCGATCTGTTCCCTCCTTACGGGTTCACTGCCGAGCGCATCGTCGGAAATTGTCCGCTGGCCATGCATGATGATGTCCTTCAGGTCGCTTCTCTGCGAGGAAGATGGCGTGTTGTGAGCAGGAGCACGCAGAGTGCATTCTCGTGCATTCCACATTGACACACAGTTGCGCACACACACAGTTGCACACACACACACACACACACACACACACACACACACACACACACACACACACACACACACACACACACACACACACACACCTACATACCTGCTTTGGGGGAAGCTGGGCTGGTTCCAAAACAACGGTGACGCCAACCTGTGATGCCAAGAGTGGACCGGCTACAGCGAGATGAATTCTGGTGTTAGCAGCAACACGTGGGTCCTGTGGTATCCCTCCACCTTCCACCCCTGACACGTTGCCCAACACCAAAGCTCAAGCACAGAGCTTCCCACTCCGTAGTCCTGACCGTGAAGGAAAGACTTGGTATTGGGCGCCTTGCTACTTGTGCGCGGCACTGTCATGTTTTTTGCAGTGAGCACGTATGGCTGCGCTGTGGAGAATGAGGTCGTCGCCAGGTCCTTGCTCATGTGCTGCACTAATCTGCAGCCGAGCAATTTGGGAGGGCGATGGACAAACCGCGAACGCAGGACGTTCGGGCAATGAGGTCAAGCGAGAAACAGGGAAGCGGGCTTCTGTGCACTTGCGTCTTGCAATGGCATACACATCCACCTACACATGCGTGCACATGCATGGATGTACACACGCGCGCGTACACGTCGATACTCACACATGCGTACGCCCACACACACAAACACACACACACACACACACACACACACACACACACACACACACAAACACACTCACTCACGCACACAATCACACACTCACCCACACACACACACACGACGGCAATTGGTCACTCACTTCCAAATGCGGCTGCAGTTTGCGATACAGAGGACATGAACGCGACAAGATGAATCCGTGTCCATGTTTGAAGCAACGAGAGACAGCAACAGTGCCACCTGTGCCATGCAAACACGTGAGCCAGCAGCAATACACCACATCGATTCGTAAGCAATAGCGTATGACGTGCAGAATTACCGTGCACGATCACAAGATGGCAACCTTCGAGTTGCGGCTCACCTTGAGAGAGAGGGCACTGTGTGCTGGGAGCAGGGACAGTCCAACGCTGTGTGCCAGTGTCATCGTCCACGGCGTGGAGAGCATGCACTCTGCGAATGCAATGGCAAAACAGAGAGCAAGGTTGTCAAGCAAACTTGCGTGTGTGCATGTGAAAACATGTATCTCGATGCGTTGCATGTGGCAACTTTCTCACTCTCTCACTCTGTCACTCTCTCACTCTGTCACTCTCTCACTCTCTCACTCTGTCACTCACTCTCACTCTCTCAAAGCCAACGAATGCATGCACTCGCCTTACGTTGGAGATGGGCAAGGTCCCACGAAGGCAGCGGCTTTGACGATGGTGGCTACGCCAACAAGCCAACAGATCACATGAAAATGTAACATGCCGTGTGAACGAACAACCCAGAGACATGCTACAGCATTACTGGCACCCTTTCGAATTCGAGAAGCACACGCCATAGCAGCCCTTTCGCTCAGCAGCGTCCAGCGCAGTGTGATGCTTCAACACGCACATTCAAGTCGGCGAGGTGGTAGACATGCTTGATGGCTGGCTGGAACTTGTCACGAAGGCAAAGCACCGTCAAAGTGTCCCCGAGTGTCACTGCTCCGACAGATGTGCCTGAATGAAGACCGATGCAACGAGTTGTTGTGGAAGGTCGTTGGTGAGCGAGACAGCATCGCTCACGCACACGACAAGCAACAAACGCGCGCGATTGCGCATTTCACACACGCACACAAGTGTACACACATGCACTCACGCATACATGTACATCCTCACTCTCATACACACACACACAGCCAGCAAAGCATCCACCAATCACCTGCAAGGAGTAGACAATGTTGTGCAGTAGACTGCTGTGGATCCACGACACGCAGGAGTTGTGCTCCTTGAAAGACGTGCTTCGTGGAATCCTGGCAACCAAAGGAAGAGCGCATGCAGTTCACCATGCTACAATGATACATCTCATGCTGTGCCCAAGCTGCGCGTCTCCTTGCCCTTTAAGTTCCCACACACAAACAAAATAGGCACACCGTCCTTTTGCGTCTCACCTCCTGCAAGCGGCTGCGACATGTGTTGCAGAATCGGCTCGGAAACACGTCAATGTGCGGAAGGCGATACTGTACTTGGCACTTGCAGGAGAACGCTGTTCCCTGCAAGCAGCTCTCCGGCCTTGCCAACCCCGCTACGGTCACCGTCACCTCCGTCAACCCTGAATGACCAAATCAAGGATGACAGATATTTGTGTGTGAGTGTGAGTGTGTATGTGTGTGTGTGCGTGTGTGCAAGCCTTGCATGCTGTACAAACGTCGTAGACATTATCACTCGTTCTGATATCCTCCCTGCTCTTTCCCTCTGCTCCTCTTTCTGTACCACGTTCTCTCGTCAACTCCCCCCCCTCACTTGCTCATGTACTTACGTGCAGCGGTTCCCCTGTGCAGGCTTGTACATTCGTCCACCAGAGGCATGTTGACGGGGATCGCCTTCACAAAGACATTGCGTGCTAGCATGCCAAATCATGAATGCGAAAGTGAGATGGCCTGGACACCGCTTGGCAAGCACCCAATCAAGATCAGACACGCAAGCAAGGAGATCAGACACGCAAGCAAGGACAGCATTCGGTTGTAGTTCGCGAACCGCCGTGTATCACGCGCAGCCTCAACATACCTGGTTCTCGTCCAAACTGCACTTTGAGCACACGTCGCAGCGCCAGCCTGCCTCGCATCATGTCACAGGTTCACAAGTGGCTAGTTGGATCAGCGCGGTAAAGCATCATCGCTGCCACAACAAACCGCAAAGCAGCTAGCAACATTGTGTACACCAGCAACACACACGCTAGCCCTCACGTCAGATGCCGGTTGAAGTCTTCAATGTTGTTGAGGAGAAGCTCGCCCAGCTGTGGACAACTGTCAATGAGCAGGCCCACGTCGATGGGCTCCTCGATGACGTTGAAAGGAGGAGCTGGTGCTGTTTGTGCAACCGATGGCAGCTGTGTTGCTTGTGCAATGAGCAGCTGATCTCGGCCGTACAACATGAGTGCGCGCCAGAGTCGGCGCTGCATGAGGCGGTCGTACACCCGCCGACTCTGTGTTGTCCATGCAGCATCCAGCGCCTCGCCATCGTCCACAGCCATCTCCTCCTCACCATCGTCGTCATCATCCACTTCATCGTGATCATCGTCAACGTGCTGCTGCTGAGCTTGCGCCGGTAGACCGCCGTTGTCTCTGTAAGGTGTGTAGCTGTTTCCTGACCCAATAGCGAGGGCATGGGGTACGGGATACACCAGCCTCCGCCTTGTGTCTGCAACCTTGTTTTCACTCGCCATAGTCGTGCGTGTGTGAGTGAATGTGTGTGAGTGTGTGTGTGTGTGTGTGTGTGTGTGTGTGTGAGTGTGTGTGCATGTGTGTGCGTGTGTGTGCTTGCGTGCGAGTTGAGGTGTTTTGTAAATGAAGCAGGTCAGGGACAAAAGAACTGCGTATTGTCTGAATCTTTGCAACGCTGTGTCTTGTTTTGGCGGGAAAAAATGCTGTACAAATTGCACACATTTGTTGACTTTCAGTTTATCCAACACGAGTGCAGCTGTAAAGACAACACGCACATACACAGATGCACACACACACACGTACACACAAGTGTGGACAAACAACGTTCACATGACCCCGCCAGTATGGCCCTGTACAAACTGTTCTCCCTTCTCAGCCTTTGAGGATGTTGGTTGACAAGCTACCTTTCCCGCCAAACTACACGATAAGTGCTGCAGCCACTGACTGAGGGGCCAGCTCCTCAGTTATCGCATTTCCATATTGAACACACACACACGCACACACACATTCACATGTCAGGTCACTCACAACTCACGCCCCTTTCCGAGCACAAGTAACCCACAAGTAACCCGCCAACAGCAGGATGGCTTTGCCTGGGTACAGGTCGCCGCCCATGAAGCGGGTGCACTTCAACGACAACGTTCAAATCAACGTCATCAGCCCACGTGGACTGGGCCACTCTACAACCGACTTTCGGTGTGTGTGTGTGTGCGTGTGTGCGTGTGTGCGTGTGTGCGTCCAATTCTGACGTTCTGTTTGTGTTTGTCATTGATGACACCATCCACCTTCGAGCGCCTTGTCTGCGCTCTTCCTCATTGGTGTTTTCTCTGTTCTCACCCAGACAATGCCGCTCCGTTGCCTGTTGCCTGTTGCCTGTTGCCTGCCATCACCCCCATCACCCCCTGTGCACACGTCAATTTGCAGCAAGTCGTTACGCGCGAGCAAAGGTGCTGTGCAGCCTGCTGGGGTGAAGCGCAGAGAGGGGTCATCGTCGACCGCACCACGCCGCGCGCTGGCCGATGTCAGCAACGTCCGCCAGCCATCCGCAAGGCCCTTTGCGTTTCAGCGTGTCAAGATCAAGCAGCGCAAGCAAGGAAACAGCAGAGGGCCCGTGCCGCGTGTTCAGACCGGCACTCAAGCCAGCAAACCACATCCCAGACAGTTCACCATGGCCAGCAGTCGCATGCTTGTTTATTCCAAGGACAAAGGCAACGCTGACACTACTGTCGCCACCAAGGCGCCAAAGGCATCGGCATCAGAGCCATCATCAGCTTCAGGCAGCAAGCCAGGAATGCCCTGGAGCAAGGGCTCAAGGTGGGGTGAGCGGGTGGTGCAGCGAGTCAGGCGCAGGCAATCACAGCAGGTGCAAGGGGAGCAGCCACTGCCACTCGACGACAGCAACAAGGAGAATGAATCGCCGGCGGCAGCAGCACAACACGGCAGCAGCACAGCAGCACCAGCACCAACAGAAGCACGGGAGGCGAGGAGGCGGTCCAAGCGGCCATGGAATTCCAAGAGCAGCCACACATCGAAGAGCAGCCCACCCACACGCGTCAACAACCGATCACAGAAGGAGGAGGATAAAGAGGAGAAAGAGGAGAAAGAGGACAAGGAGGAGAAGGAGAAGGAACAGGAGGAGGAGAAAGAGGACAAGGAGGAGGAGGAGAAGGAGGAGGAGGAGGACAAGGAGGAGAAGGAGAAGGAACAGGAGGAGGAGAAGGAGGAGAAGAGGGATCAACGACAGCAAGGCGGCGAGAGCTCACGGCGCAGTGCACCGACAAGCACAACTGAGGACGACTCCGCGGACGTGGATGTGCTGGTGTTGGCCCCGGCGGACTCTGTGATTGATCGGCACACACGTGCAGCCAGGGCGGCAGCCAAGGCTGGCGTATCATCCACGGCTCGCGGGCAGAGGAGGAAGGGAGGGCGACACGGGCGGCGGATCCGGCCGCATCAAGTCTGCTGTTTGCTGGATTGACGTGGCACATGGGAGATTGTGTGCGGGTTGTTGTGGCGTGGGTTGGGGTGAGTCGTGCAATCGCCTTGCGAGCTGCGAGTGCGTTGCGTGTGTGTTGCGTTTCGAACAGTAAAGCCACAACACATGACTGCAAGTGCATGCAAGCTCAGAGCGAGGGGGCGAAAGGGTAGTCGGAAGAAAGAACTGCACACACACACACACACTTACACACAGACAAGTACAACACACACACACACACACGTGCACACACATACACACATACACATACGTGCACACACGCGCGCGCACACACACACACACACACACACACACACACACACACACACACACACACACACACACACACACACACACAGAAAACTCCGACAACGCTCACCTGGCCTTGAAGAGGTAGGCGGGTGTCTTGCCGTGAAGCATTTTCCAGAGTTTTGTGCCGTTTGCGCCCAGCATCTCACGTAACTCATCCTTGCTTGCCTGCTGCAGGCTTTGCAAGGACGGGAAGCTGTGCATCAGCTGCATCGATCGCTTCTCGCCAACCCTGCAATGGGAGGTGATGGGAGGTGATGGCGGTGGTGGTGTCACGCGTGAGCCAGCAAGACCAAACAGCTGCAGTCACGTGCGTGCAATAGGAGCGACAGGTTTGGTACACGCGCAAATGCAATGGGCACACGGTGCACACCCTGGCAGGAGGCGAATGGCGGTGAGGAGGTTGAGGTTGAGGTCCTGGCGAGCTGGCCACAACAGCAGCGCCATGGACAACAGGTGACAACAGATGAGCAGCGACAACAGATGAGTGGTGAACTTCAAAGGACAGAAGATGGCGTGCGAGAAAAGAGATACAACCAGACGGACAAGCAAGCGTGCACGCATGCACGCACGCACAAGATTTGATGGGCGGCCTGACAGCGCACTTGACCGCTCCTATCAAGTACAGCGCCAAGTCCTCAGGCGTTCTGTCGAAAGCACGTGTGTACATGCGTGTGCGTGCGTGCGTGTGGATGATGCAGTTGGTGAGGAGTGAGCAACGACTCTGTCGTGAGGATACACACAAATGTGCAAGCACACACACACACACAGAATGCGCATACATACACGTACACACGCGCAAAGGCACTCACGCCACGAAGATGACGGGGAGGCGGAAGCGGCAGGTGATGTTGTTGCGGACGTGCTGCAAGTTTGGCTGTGTCGAGGGAGCTGCCACCGCATACACGGTTGGATTCGGGTATGTGAGTGCAGCCTGCACTCGCTTCGCTGTTTGTGTGTGTGTGTGTATGTGTATGGAGAGGTGAGAACACGTGGAAGTGGCAACACACACACACAGACACGCAGACAGACAGACGGACAGACGGACAGACACGGACACACCGATGTCCTTCCACTGAGGGTTGATGATGTCCTTGTCCCACAAGTAGACGACGCAAGCGCCAGGGCCAGTGACAAAGTCCACATCCAAGTCCATGTCGTGTGCCACTCGATGCACACCAGGCTGCACTGTTGTGACGTGCATCAAGGGTGAACTTTGTTCTACAACCATCCTCGCCGGTGTCACGCGCCTGCTTCCTCGACACACACACACACACACACACACACACACACACGACACTTACGTTTTTCCAAGGCAGCAGTGACGCTGGTGCCCTTGTAGCGCTTGTGCACCAGCACTTGCCTGGCATGGATGTAAAGAGAAGTGAGGGACAGGGTCACAGGCCACGTGTGACGGTGTTGTGACGGTGTGTTGTGCGACGTGAGCATCACCCACCATCCTCATCTCCAAACATCCTCACCACACCACTGCGCCGCACTTTGCACAAACAAGCCAAAACAACCAACCAACCAACCCTTCAAACGGAAAGCGGACGCGGAACATCTTGTCTACAACAGGATAAACTGCAGCCAAACATGGTTAAATGCACATGGAATCCCCATGCACAAAAAAAAACCACACACAACGCGCAAGCAACCAAACATCACGCTCATCACGACATCGCTGCCTTGCATCGCGCGTCATCGTGCATCAGCTCAGAAGCCACCGTTGGTTGTCCTTCCTCGTTCCCTCCAGATTCGTGTGTCACGGAGGTCTGGCCAGCGCAGCCAAGCGACAGCCACAGTCCATTCTTCTTCTTTCCCACGGCTCGCCCCGATCCATCATCCCCAAGAGGTGTGTGTATGTTGTATGTGTTTGTGTTTGTGTGTGTTTGTGTTTGTGTTTGTGTGTTTGTGTTTGTTTGCAAAACACCAACAAGCCAACCAGGCAGAGCTAGCGATCACCTGCCTCTTCTTTCGCTTGCTTTGCTTCGCTTGCTTTGCTTCGCTTGCTTTGCTGCACTTGCTTTGCTGCGCTTGCATTGGTTTCAGCGCTCGTGGCTGCCATCACCAACAAAATTTGCATTGCTGACAGCCGCATTACAATCTTGCATTGCTACATTACTCTGCCAGTTCTCACACGATACTGCTTTTGTGCCTTGCTTCATTTCATGCCTCTCCTGGCCTTGACCAATACAGGCACCGTGTTTCACACGTGTGCATCAAGCACACACACACACACAAACAAAGCACAAACAAAGCACCCAAAACGGGCACACAGGCACAAGCACACGCCTGTGACATTCATTACACATTACACATGACACTACTTCCCACTCCAGCGCACACCGTTACCCAGAACAGCGAACCGCACGCGGATCACCGTTGAAGTTGCTGCTGGCCTTGCTCAAGCTTGAGCAGTCCGTTTCTCTCGTGCCCCGCTCACCGACAAGCAGCCAAACAAGGCAACCACCCCAAACAAGCAAGCACCAGCCAAGCCATTTGAGATACGACAAGCAGCAAGCAGGCAACGCGCTGTGTTCATTTCTTTCACTGCGTGATCCCTTGTGCTATCTTCGTCATCCCAGCGTTTGCCTCCCTTCTTGTCCAAGCTCGTGCCCAGTGCCCTCTCCCCCCCCCCTGTGGCTCGCCACCGATGTTGCGACCGTCGCACTGCCCACGGAAGACGGCGTCCGTCGCGGCCCAGCGCGAAGTGAGCCGGAGTGCCAGCTCTCTCAGCAGCGTCGGCAGCGGCATGTCTGAGAGCGGGTCGTCGCGCCCGTCCACCTCCTCCAGCCAGAGCCATCTTGACGATGGTCGCGCCTCCCCGTGCCGCGCGCTGTCGTGGGTGCGGGAGGCCAAGCAGCTGCCGCCGCAAACGCGCGCGTATGTATTGGAGCTTGCCGAGGCATTTCGCAGGAGCAACCTCATTGGCACCCGCACCTACCACCTCCGCACCTATCACAACGTCTTTGTCGGGTGAGTCACTTTCGCTGCATGCGTGCGTGTGTATGTGTATGTGTATGTGTATGTGTATGTGTATGTGTATGTGCATGTGTGTGTGTGTGTGTGCTGAGTGTAGGGGCAATCATCTCACAGCCGCCACCGCCATCACCATTGGCCAACACCACCACCGCTCTCCACCAGGCGCGAGTTCGTTGACTGGCTCCTGACGCAGGACGGCATTGGCGATCGCACAGCAGCAATCTCAAACGCAGAGGTGCGGTGTGCGTTGTTGTGTGCAGTGCGTATTGGGCGTATTTGTGTTGTGTTGTGTTGTGTTGTGTTGTATGAAATGAGTGGAGTGTGCGTGGCTGTTGCGCACGGTTTGTGCTGTGTGTGCTTTCTTGCTGTTGGAGCTGCTGCTCTTCGAAGCGGTGACGATGCTTCTGCGTGCTCACGCACACACACACACACACAAACAAACAAATACACGCACGCACACACACACACACACACAAACACACGCCAAACCTGCTGTTGCTTCTTGGCATGTTCGCAGCTGCTGGTGACGCTCGGGCTCGCGCACCACGTGTGTGACGACCACCCCTTCAAGGACGACTTTCTCTTCTACAGGTGCACACACGCGAAGCTCATGCGCGCGCGTGTGTGTGTTTGCGTCGCATGTGATATGAATGCGTGTGTATGGTACAAGTGTTGCGACACTGCTTACGCTGCGCCAGCCTCAGAGAGTCACGTGCACCCACCACTCACATCACTCCGTCAACCGCATCAACCCCAATCATCTTCTCATGTCCACAGGTTCTACGCGGACGAGGCCGTGAACTGCCCATCGGTGTACACGCTCGTGCCGGCGGCGCTCCACTTTGGGCCCCTCACCCTCCAGTCGTCCATGTTCAACACGCGCACATACTTTGCCCTCCTCGCCCCACGGTGTGTGTGTGTGTGTGTGTGTGTGTGTGTGTGTGTGTGTGTGTGTGTGTGTGTGTGTGTGTGTGTGTGCTTGCGTCTGACCATGGCAAAGCATTCGTTGGTTTGCGTGTCTGCTCATTTGTTCAACACTACCAAACTCATATCCTCCCCCATGCGCGCATCATCATCATCATCATCGTCATAATCATCATAATCATCATCATCATCATCACCGCCACCTGTCAGTGCTGAGGTGCTGTATCTGTTCAAGAACGACATTGGCAGCAGCCCCGTGCTCGAACTTGAACTCGATCCACGCGCGCCAAAGCCCGCGTCCGCCCCACTGCCAAACGGTACGGCAGGCCATGCGTGCGCACTTTTGTATATGCCATGCGCGTTCATTGTGCGTGTGTTTGTGCGTGTGTGCGTGCATTCGTTGATTGCGTGTGTGTGTGTGTGTGGATGGCTGGCGTCACTTGTTAGCGACACGTGTTGGCTTGCCCATCGCACACACACGTTCGGCCGCTCGCTGTGCTGTCGCCTACATGTGTTCGTCGTGTCACCTTCCCTAACCCTTCCCTCCTCCGTTGTCACACTCTCACCACCGCACTTGCTGCTACCACGTATACACTGCAGGCTTCCGCGTTGTCGGCTCGCAGCAAAAGAACGGAAAACACACGCGCGTCACCCACACGTTCACGTGCGCATCAGAGGAGCAACTGAAGCCCTGGGTGGACATTCTGATGCAACACGATGTGCTTGCACGCAGGCACTCGGCGTGACGTGCACGGTGCATGCGTGCTAGTTGACGCCGCGTCATCACGCAACAGCTAATTGTAACAGCGGAAGTCTTTATCACCACCACCGCCACCCGTTTGTTTCATCAACCTCTTCAATCGGCACGTACCGTGTGTACCAACCTCTCCTTCACTCGTGCGTACCACGTGCACTCTTCTATCTCTCACACCATCTCTAGTTCTTAACGACCCTGCCTGCTGATTATTCCCCCCTTCTTTTAGATAGCTAGCTAGATCCTCCCTTAACGCGTTTGTGGCTTGCGTGTGTGATGGTGGTGTGCCGAGTGTCTGTGAACCCAACATGTATTCGCACCTCACCACTGTGCGCGCGTGCCACCGTTTTGTTACTCTTCACACGCGTTGCATTTCATTTCTTTTGCCCCCCCCCCTGTTACCAACTGCCCTTATGCCTTTTTCTCCACTCGTTTCTTTTCATCTTCACGTTGTTCTTTGCTTGTGCGTATGTTACCCGCCAACGTGTCGTGTGTGCATTCATCGCAACGGCAGCAGTGCATCGAACGCACAAGTGCCTGAGCTCATGAACGACTGACCAAACGCTTGGGTGAATGAAACAACGAACGAACGGACTAAACGAACAGAGCACCGTGAGCGGTGGGGCGTGAGATGTGCTTGTTCAGACGAGGGCGGGTCGACCTGGGAGGAGCAGATTGTACGTTGCGCGCTTGTTCCAGAACGACGAGTCTTTCCACGCGCACCACCCTTGCTTCTGTTGTCGTGCGTGTGTGTGTGTGTGTGTGTGTGTGTGTGTGTGTGTGTGTGTGTGTGTGTGTGTGTGTGTGTGTGTGTGTGTGTGTGTGTGTGTGTGTGTGTGTGTGTGTGTGTGTGTGTGTGTGTGTGTGTGTGTGTGTGTGTGTGTGTGTGAGTCAGCGATGTAAATGCAAAATGCGGCAACTCCGCTGCTGTGCAACAGTGGCATCTTGGACGCACGTGAATCACGCCGAGGTCGTCCTTGCCGGTGTAATGGGGATCAAGCACGAGCCACCTGCCGTTGAGAAAGTATACAAACGGGGTGTGATAACGCGAAGACGGCACAGAAAACGCAAAGGTGGGTTTAGTGATTGCTGACGATAACGACGTCATCATCCCCATACAACATCATCTTCGATCCACCACGACATGACCACATGTCACGTCATCACCACACCACCACCCCCTCCGGCACCACACACCTGACTCTGCCAAGCTGTTCCTGCCAGTCGATGCCAATGATGGTGTGGGCGAGGTTTGATCCTCCAATCATCACCGGCGAGCCCGTCCGCTCAAAGTGCAGCGCAAGCTCGCGCGCTGCGACGTATGAGAGGCGATGAAGGGGTGCGGGAGAAGAAGGGGTTGGATGTGGAAGAGAGGGAGAGAGTGAGTGAGTGTGTGTGAGAGTGGGTGAGTGAGTGTGTGAGTTGTGTGTGTGTGTGTGTGTGTGTGTGTGTGTGAGTGTGTGTGTGAGTGGGTGAGTGAGTGTGAGTGTAAGTGTGTGTCTGTGAGTGAGTGAGTGAGTGAGTGAGTGAAACTGCTTGCAAGCATCAACGTGTGCGCACCTTTCGTCGGCAGATCTTCGCCCGTGACGTTGAAGATAAATCGGGACTCCGCCTCGAAATCCGCCTGCAGTCAATGATGATGATGATGATGATGATGATGATGATGATGATGATGATGATGATGATGATGATGATAATGATGATGATAATGATGATGATGATGATGATGATGATGATGATGATGATGATGATGATGGTTGTGGTGGCTGATCAGAACGCTCAAAAGGAGCAAGGCCAAGCGACAGTGACCAACGGTGCAAGAACAGACAGCAGCGTGCACCACAACAACAGAAGGACAACACGAGCGCACACGGCTGCCCGCACCTCAAACCACTTGTTGACAAACAGGAAGATTTCCTGCGATCCAATCCACGTGCGGGAACCGACAAACGAGGCTGGTTTATCGCCAACAGCAACCAGCGTCTGGTGTCGTCGTCGTGGTGAGTAATGGTGATGTGGTGGTGGTGGTGGTCAAGGGGATGAAAGAGGTGAGCACGACAGATCATGAGAAAAGCAGCACATGCAAAGGAGTGTCACAACATGCTCGTTCACACACACACACACACACACACACACACACACACACACACACACACACACACA